ATCAGAAGGACGCCTTCACAAGAGCTTGCAAACGACGCAACCACGTGCTGGATGTCGGCGCTCATTGAGGAACCCGAGATCTTTTCCACATCGGTCGTCGCAGGGTCACAACCCCAGCATGCATGGACATAGCCCTTCAAGGCTGGATCGACATGGTGTCCATCAGACCAGCAGCTGAAAACCAAGAGTTTGCCGGGATCGGCGCCTGGTTTTACGGACGTCTGCCACTGCACGGAGTAGAGGAAATCATCAGATGACTCGGGTGGGCCCTGGTGCTTTTCTGGCAGGCCGCTCTGCGACATGAAGACTGGAACATGGCTACGCCTCTGAATCTTCTTAAGCTGGCACTCTTCCCTCCAGACCTCATCGGTGGCGTGCATCGGGACAGGGCCAGACAAGAGCACTGAGGCGTTCGTTCCACTGAAGCCGAAGCTGCTGACACCACACGCGAGGCTTTCATCACGGTGCAGAGAGACTGGCTCTGAGACCAACTGTGCCCAATTTGCTTCCAGCTTCCTCTGAATCAGTTCACTCACCCTTCCAAGCCAGATGTGCCGAGGAATGAAGGCGGAGTGCAATGCCAAGACTGCACGCTGGAGGCCGAGAATGCCGGCTGCAGCTTCAAGATGCCCAAAAGAAGACTTTGCCGTGCTCAGCATCAAAGGAGTGCCACGAATGTCTGAGAAAACACGCTTCAATCCATCCACTTCAGCCTCATCACCAATCGTTGTCCCACTGCCATGACATTCGATGAAGTCAACTGCCTTCGCAGCCATCTTGGCGTCAGACAAGCATCCGTGAATCAACTGGGACTGCGCTGCACTGTTGGGCCTCAGGAAGCCAACGCCAGATCCATTTTGGTTGACACCTGCCGCAGGAAGGCTCGCTAGACCACCTTGTGTCGTGTCGCCAACACCCACGTAACACATTCCAACCCCCTCCCCACGAACATATCCATCGGCACTTTCGTCGAAGGTGCGACATCGCCCGAAGTGTGACAGCATCTTGCTCTTGCAGCAATTGATCGTGACATCAGGCCCCAGCATCAGATTCACGCCGCCAGCCAAAGCTCCTGGACTGTTACAACATTTTGGCTCAAGCCAAACTGCGCTAACTTCTGCGAACAAGGACGGCCTGCTGACTTGCCCCGGAAGATGTTGCTCACACCCATATCCAGGGCAACCAGAGAGGAGGAGCAGGCAGTGGATACCGTCGCTGTAGGGCCCTGCAGCCCCAGCTGGTAGGCCAAGCGACCCGCGAGGACCTGAGATCAGTCTTCGTCAAATCATCCAAGTCTACCTGCTCGCACTCATCGGGGTGCACTGAACTAGCTCTGATGACTGCACGTGCAGCTCACTGGAGGTACAATTGTGTGTAGGGTGTGGATCGGTAGATAGGTAGGTCGGTCGATCGGTAAGCAGGCAAGCAGAGAGGGAGAGGAGGAGAATGTGAGAGAGAGAGAGAGTTAGAGAAAGAAAAAAACATGGTGCGACCGCGAGCGGGTAGGATCAGAGGGTCTTTCAAGACTGCTGCCGAGACACGCTGCTGCAGTTGCCGCTACCGGCATACATGTCGTGAGGCACCTCGCGCATGGCGGCTTCGCAAGAGCTGCATGCGAATCGCCAACAACCCTGACGGCCACCCTGAATTCCCACGCCACCTACAACACGTAACCCACGACTCTTTGGGCCTGGTGCTTGCAGAGCAGGTCCGTGAAGTCCCTAGTCATCACGCCAACGAAAACCTCGATTCTGGCTAGCAGATGCTGGCTAATCAGTAGCTTGACCATCAGCAGCACTTCTGATTCATCTTAGGAAC